TTCCTGCCAGTCTGTTGCAAGAATAACTTCTTTAGCTGCACTTGTCAATGACTGGAACTGAACTTCTGCAGCTAGGAAACTGCCTCCCTGTGATATCTCAGGATTCAGGTTTGGGACATGTTAGTTCACAGTATAAGACAAAGCTGTTGCTTAGTCAGTTTTAAGCAAATACAGGAGTAGCATTTTTCTTTCTTGTGGTTTCACAATAAAGCTTAAGTATCAAAATACTAGTATCAATCTAAAAGATTGTGGAACTGTAATTAAAACTTATTTCAGGCCAATTTGAAATTCTTGTACCTACTCTAACTTTTTTTTTTCCTGGAAGAATAATGGTAATGCAGGATAACTAGGGATTAATACTGTACATCAGCATAGTACCTAGGAAATCCTTCTGGATTTGGCCATTGGATGGGACTCATGAAGGGGCAGGGTGCTGATAGGGGTCTGAGGTTCTGTGACGTGAAGGCCCCTCTGCGTAGCAGATCTTCAGTATTCAGCTCTGAAAGAACTGAATCTGCATTTCTGTCATGTGGATCCTCCAAAACTTTGAGTTTAAAGCGTGTGTCCTAGAGAGGTTCTCTTCAACTTACCAAAAGGGGGAAGCAAAAGCATTCAGCTCCAGCTTTGTCATTTCTTTTAAAAAATCCATGTGGTGAGAGACTAGGGCCCAGTGTTTAAAGACTTGTGTACCAGTGCTTTAAAGGGATGTTTGTATCCATTCACTCAAACGACTCCATTTCTGAAGCTATTCAGGTGTATTTGTCTTTGCAGGAACTGAACAAATCTTTTGGGTGGCCTGACATTGACACAGGAAGAGACAAGTACTGAGTAAAGAGAAATACTCCTCAAGTAATTAGGAGGTTAATAAATAGTGTGAAACTTCTAAAACTTAAATATACCTTGGAAAGAAAGTTAATGTGGAGTTGCTAAATCAAGTACTTATTTCTGCAGCTGCTGTAATTGCCGGTCTAATTAGACTGACAGGATTGCTAAAGCCCTGGGAAATAAGTGGTTTGTGGTTATCTATAATGTATCAGTACTTCTGCATTGTTACTCCAGTCTCTGAGCTCCCTGGTGTTAAGTAAAGCTTACCTATGCCTGTAGCTTGAGTACACACTAAGTGCAGTATTCCATAAACTGGATCTTCTGCCAAAGAGAGGACAGCTTACCTTGTGTCACCTGGGGCTATGCCAGGCTGAGTCTCCAGGCCTGGCATACCAGTTTGATTTTTGTCTTCATCTCTAGCATTCTGGTATCCATGATCAAGCAGACACAATGTTCCCCTGACACACCAGCTAGCTGTATTTAGTGTTTTGGACAAGCAGAATTAGCTGCTCTAATTGATTGATTTGTTTTAAATATCATGATGATATATCCCAAGTTGCATAAGCGGGCTATGCCAGGCTGAGTCTCCAGGCCTGGCATACCAGTTTGATTTTTGTCTTCATCTCTAGCATTCTGGTATCCATGATCAAGCAGACACAATGTTCCCCTGACACACCAGCTAGCTGTATTTAGTGTTTTGGACAAGCAGAATTAGCTGCTCTGATTGATTTTGTTCTAAATATCATGATGATATATCCCAAGATGCATAAGCTTACTTAGAATGTTAAATCTCCAAGTTCTTGACTTCTTTCTTTGAAAAATGAGTTGGATCAAGTTCAAGCAAAACATGTGCATATGATCCAGAGTTGTCATCAGAACCAATCCTTATCTTCCCAGATGATTCCAGCTACATGCCACCAGCAAATTACCCTGGGCAGCACATGCTTCATGTACTGTGGTAGCGTGCTGGGTGGGGAGTATGAAGGAAAAAGCAGTCATGCTCAGCTAGCTATAGAATCACTCTGGCTGGAAAGGGCCTCCAGGATCATCAAGTCCAACCTTCTTCCCAGCATTTCCCTAACCACTAGACCATAGCCTATGAAAATAATCTGAGTTGTGCTTAAAACCTATAACTACTTGGGTATGGTTCTGCAGTTTGTATGTTTTTGGGTTAATTTCTCAAGAAAATAGTCTATCAGTAGAGAAAACACTATCTTCCAAATACATGCTCTAGAAAACTACACTCTCCTGTTTTATAAAGGAGTGTACTTAACAAAAGCTTCAGAAAATAAATGAGTGGATATGTATTTCTGAAGCTTGAGTGGGTACAAGACTTCTGGCTCAGAGCTTTTCTCATAGGCTTATTTTAAGGTCTTTCAGGAGCTTCCTGAGCATTGTGTGAAGCACATTTGTCACCAGCACACAG